AATACTGTGAGATATGTGTAATAAATATGCAATGCATGATTTGCCAAGAACTAACTAGCGTTTTAATAGCCTAGAAGCAATTTAAAAGGTAAGAAGATTTCGCCCAGTGGCTGCAGGGGTCGTGCCGGAGGTTACACAGTTGTGGGGGCTCTATGTAGAAGCAGAAGTATTTGGCGGACAAAATAAACGAGGGGGTGTCGCATTCTATGCGCCTCTGCTAATTATTAAGTGGCGAGTGCATCACTGCAAATACAAACAAAGCACTATAAAACTGTAGAAAATGCGTTCCCACGACAGTCGGGTGGTATATTATGTAAAGGCTCATTTAGTCTAGACTTGATTTACGTAACGTAACCTAATATTATGCCCAATGCGATATATTTTTATTCAGGAATTAATTCATGTGGCTTATAGGCGGCAAAGGGGAACCTTCTAGTTTTAAAGATATTTAGTGTTCAATGTTATTTTTTTTATCGGTTATCGTAATCGTGCCCGGCAAAGTGACAATCAGCTGAAAAGGAAAATACCAGAAGAAAAAATATATATATTTTCGCTTCTGGCTAAGTTGAGTAATCATAGGTGATTTCTTACGTAAGTTATCTGAGCCTTAAATGTTACGGCCTAGATTATATCTGAAAATACAGGAAGCGTACGTCGAAACTCTTTGTGAAATGTCATGCTGTCACAATAACAACAACAAATAGGTGGAATGCGTTGTAACAGTGCATAAAAACGTAAGAAAGCTGTATGGACTTTGACTTTGAGGCTTAAATTTTAAACGCACGCATACGGATACGCGTGCTATAGAGGTCCGTCTTTAATGTACCGGAGAGTTGTCAAACTACCGATAGCGCTATCGATAGTGTCGATAGTTTTTTATTTCTATTACCATCGATATTTTTTATCCACTATGTTACGCATTTCCACCATACAAATTAGGTATATATGTGTTAGAAAATTTTTGTATGTGAAAGAAAAAAAAATGTCTAAAATGAACCGGATTTTTGCAACTTCAAACATGCAGTTTGTGATATTACAATTTGGATACAAAACTGCAAAGCAAACATTTTTCGAGAAATTATAGTTAAAATCCTTTATATTTGATTAAATTGTTGATTTTGCTAGTTTCTGTACAAAGATTTAAATTTGGATGTTTACGATTTTGGTTGTATAGGCTATACTTTTTTAAAAAAAAAATCATGAAAACTGATTGAAATGTCGCGTTTGTATCGTTTTATCGCAGTCCGTATGTATGTATGTAATTTAAACATAAAACTTAAGTTATTTTTTTATTAATGCAACAGCACGCCTAAAAGGTTCTAATTAATTTTAAAATACAATGCATAACAGCGAAAAAATCTACCAAATACCTACTTGAAATTTTCATTAAAAAAATTTTTGATTTAATTTCAATAGCACAATCGATAATATCGATAGTGAGAACTGAAACTATCGAAAATATCGAACGGCGTCACTATCGATAGTTGGACAACTCTAGTGTACAGCTCATTTTGTAGCTAAATTTATGAAAAAATAGTATTTAACCGATAACTTCGGATAGTGCAGACGAAAGATTATTAAACCAATTTTTTATGATACGCTAACGGCTGAGTATTTGATTATCGAAAGTCAATGACTGATGCAATACCATTCATTGAAATGAGTAAACTATTTATCGTGACGGAGACAGTAACACATACATACTACATACGTAGATAGCAGCGCAACACATTTACTCGAATAATTGTACTCTATAATTGTAAATATGTGCGGACAAAAGAAACTGCTTTGAAGATAACGTTTTTTTACATTTTTAAACAAGCTTACTAAGTCATTTGATATTGGAAAACGTCGAAATGCGCTGTACTTGTGCAAAGAGTTAACTGATCTATCTACATACATATGTATGTACTACAAAATATTTACTAAAATATGCACAAGAAATCAATATGTATGTACATGCATATGTATTAAAGAAAACAAATTTTTTCAATTCGTATCAAGACCCATTTCTTACTTACTAGCTTTATATGTGAGGTCATTGCAATCGACACAATTGAAAATAATTTCACATCGCCTCGCAAACGATCATAGTGTATTATAAAGTCTTTTAATTATATTGATAACATACTTAAACATTAGATAACGAAACTGCTAGCAGGGTAGCGAGTGTAAAACTAAAATGAACATTGTAGAACTTTGAAATGCAATTAATTAACAGAAGCAAGCCGACTAAAATCGCGATTTAGCTTAAAGCGAAAATGGGCTGTACTCTAAGTCGTAATAAATGAGGACTTTTACATGAGTATTTAAATTGGTTCACTCTGGCAGCCGACTTTTGTTTGCATACTTATTTGTAGTAAATACATATGTAATAAACATTTGTGTTATTAAATTATCAACGTTACAAATTTGTATTTATAGGAATTTAAAAGATTCAGAAATGATAACTCCAACAAAAATTCTCCTCTATTTGGAAATATTCATAGTGCTCCGTGCATGTTTTAATTTTTTCGTTCGCGATTCCATCATTACAAATAACCAAATCTCAGAATCCTTGTTGCGAAATATATTTTTTTTAACTTCTATTTTAATTTTCCAGGTTATAAGCTGTTTTTTGATTTTTTGCTGAACTTTGGGGAGCAAAACATGGAGTAAACATGCTTCCAACGCTTTTCAGAGATAAAACTTGCTTATCTAAAAACCTAGGTCCAACTTTTTTATAACTTCGGGTTTTAGAATGGTGTAAAACCAATGCTAACATAATCGAGCTACAATATAATTTTTTGATATTAATATCAGTCCGATAACCATCTCTTATCACAGAGAAACATAAATTTGATAATGCTTAAAAAATGTTTGTCACAAAATCTTGCCGCTAACCAGGTATACCTTCCTCAAATACGAACAGTCACACACTATACTAAATGTAAACAAATTAAATAAAAACTTACCGATTGGCTGTTGTGGTTTTAATTCCATAACTGCGCTTTGCATAATATGCTGAGGTTGATGTTGCGAATGGCCGTGATGAATGATTTGAGTTTCGTTGGACATTTGTATGGAGCCAGCGGAAATTATTGCCCCAGACGTTACCATTTGTATGGCACCGGGCTGTGTGCCACATTCGCCCAATTCATCTTCAAGCTATGTAAGTATTTATAAGAATTGGAAAAGTTAGTTTTTATTTATGAGTGTTTTTTTTTTTTGTTGATTTTGTCTTACCTGCGCAACCGACGCTGCT